AACCCCCACAGCCAGGTTAGGACACGCCATACAGTCATTCCGTGGGTGTGAGGGTAGGGGGAGTCCATGTCTGAGCAAACGGGATTCCAATCTGCAAGGAAGTGGGGAATGAATCTGATGGTTATATTCACAGGTTATAATGCATGGAATCAACTTTAAAAACAGACCACAGTAAGCATTGGTCTTGAAATGCTTTAACCCTGACATGTTTAAAAAAAAAACATAGTTTAAAAAACCCACTATGGAATGAATTCTAGTCTGCAGTACCACACTGAGAAACCCTGAAGGTCTCGAACGTGATGGGCAACAGTCCAGATGGGCATGTAGCACCTATTCCGGGTCTCTTACCTCTGGAGGAGGTGTCCTACTGCTCCAAACACCTACCCAGGAGGGCAGAAGGGCACCCACAGGCACCTTGAGGGTCTGTTTCCAGGCTGGTGCCACACAGAATAGCAGCAGAGCAAGTCACAATGCAGGCTACCCGGGCTACCTTGTTTTCCCAGATCTCTCTCCCCCCCACCCCAGTTCAAACCCGGGGTGGGCGGGCACACCTGTACGAATTCTAGAGCACAAGTTGGCCAAGGGAGAGTCAAGGGACCGCTACAGACAGAGATCTTGCCCTGGAGATTTTGGGGACAGGTGGAAGGGTCTGGAAATTCAGGCAGGAACACCCGGGAAGCCAGAAGGTGGCCCCCAAGTAGAAAGGCACCGTTGCCATGGCCTCTAGGTCAGAGGTGTTAAGTTGGTGCAGTTCAGATACCCACTGCTGGCTCCACAGTCGGCTCTGGGAGACACACCTGAAGAAGAGTTTCCCCCAGCAGGTGCCCGGATCAGGCAATCAGAGTGGCTGCTGGAATGTCTGCACTCCCAACCCCAGGCCACCTTTAGAGCAACGCTGGAGCCCAGAGACTCCCTTCACCTCAGGGAAGTTCTTCCCTGAGGGAAAGTGCTAACATCGCTAACATCGGTCCCCCAGAGCCTTCTCCATGAGCTTCAGGTTTCGATTCAAAACCTGATAAATCGTATTTAATGCTATTTTGAAATTTTTTTTAACGAAATTACTCAAAAGATTTTTTAATCCCGGATAATTTTGTTGTAACTCTAATTATACATAACCTTAATTACCAGTACCAGCCCCCTCCCCCAAGGATCTCTAATTGCCTCCTAATTGAATAAAACAGAGAGCTAATCATGCCCCCACCGAAGCTCTGTAAGCAGTCACAGCTGAGGCAGCGCCTGGGGGCGGGAGCTCACTGCCACCCTTACCTAGCCTCTGCACAGAGAATGAGAACTTGGTTCTCTGTCCCTAGCACTGCCCAGGTAGGGTTTGGGGGTGGTAGAAACTCAGGACTGGGAAGGGCTAGGTCTAATCTGCACCTGTTCTCCCCAGGCCTCCAGACTGCTGGAGAAGCAGGCAGAAGAAGTTAAAGACCCTGGGGCATACAGCTTGAGGGAAGACCTATACAGCACTTGCTTGACAAACTGGCATTGGCAAGACCTATGCTACACACCAGGCCTCCGATGAACCCCTCTAAAAATCAGCCAGTGGTGGCAGAAGCAAGGCCTTTGGCACACAGCACAGAGCCTCAGGGTGCTGGCCCACAGCCCTGCACCCCAGCTGCCCCTCCACCAAGCGGGCTCCACCTTTCGCCTAAAGCGGGCAAGACAATCAATTCCCACCTACAGGTTCCTGCCACTGCGTCAGTCAGTCACGGAGAAACGACTATTCCCTGGGCTCTCATTTCCCTGGAGAGGGTAGAAGGGCGAGGACCAGACAGCCTAGCCCCCCCCATCTGTCTCAAAAGGGAAGGGCACAGGCCTTGGGCTGGGCCTTGAGTCCTTCAACCCAACCTGCTTCGTATATTACACTGAATTACCAATTCAGCACCCAATGCACGCAAAGTCCCACACCTAGCAGGGTAGAACGTGTGTCCTCTTGTGTCGTCTGTCGCTTCCACAGAAACCAGGTCTCTACATGTGGCTCTGGTGGGCTTCCCAGCTATCGCTATGCGGAGCCAGTCATGTTCTGTAGTTACTGAAGGTCAGGAGGGCACCACCACCAACCAAGCCCCCTCCTGCCCACCTGGATCACAGCAGTCGCAAGAATAAGTTACTGCTAAGAATTTCGTTTTTAAATGTAGGGCCGGGACAACCTTACTGGCCAAAAAAAAACCGGGCCCAAGTTGAGTAAGGGGACCCCTGCCCTGAACTGTCTTCACTCTCCCCAGGGTAGGGTGCCTTAGACACCTCTATCCTTAGAAAGCTCCACCCAAGTCTCTACTCTGGGCCCCCGCATTTCTTTCAAGTGGGTCACCTAAAAAGCCCAGCATGAGCAAGCCATGCAGACAAGAGGTCTGGAGAAGTAGCACCAAGAAATACAAACGAAATTACACCTCAAGATGCATGCCCCAGGACAGGCTCCCCAAGCCCTGCGTCCTGAGGTCACCACCACCGGCCCAGATATCAGTACAGGCTCAGTTACAGCTCAAGGGCCCAAGCGCAAGGATAGTGCAATCCCCTGAATAACCATGACCTTGCTCCTGCCCCTACCCCCTGGCCCCGCTGGCCAGCCTAAGAAGCAGCTAGGCTGACTGCAGAGTGCCTGCTTGCCCCTCTTGCTTCAGGTAATGGAGTCAGGTGCCCCAGGAGCCCACCACACATCTGCTTAAAATATTGCCTAATGAAATTCTAAAGTCCTCAGTAGGCCCTGAGCTGTCTTTCATCCTGAGCTGCCTCAACCACCTTCTTACTGAGGGCTTTGGTGGTAGCAGTAATAAAGTTACAGAGCCAGAAACCGGGTTTCGCAGTGACACCCAAGCGGGGACTCTGGGTAAGCGTCTGGGGGCAGTTTCTAAGGACGCCCGGCAAACAGATTGAACAGTGCACTCCCCACCGGTTGTGTCCTCCGGTTCTCCGCCTCCAGGGACGGCCTCAAGACCGCAGGCCTGGAGCCCGCTCCGATCCTATGTAAGGTCTGGGCCAGGTAACCTTCCCCACCTGGAGGTGGAGCAGGCGGAGAGCTGAGGCCCAGCAAGGCGCCAACCCGCTGTGGACCTCTGGGAAGTTTCCGGGGCCTCGCAGGGTGCGCTGAGCCAGTCTCTCGCTTGCAGCGAAGGCGGCGACAAAAGGACCTCAGTAGCTTTACTCTTCTGCTTCCAGCTCTGGGTCCCTCCTCTTTTGAGAGCCTGACCACCTCTGCCTGCAGCCCGGGGTTGAGACTCCGAAAGGCTCACGGTGCACACCAGACTCTAACAGTACACAGCACACCCGCTCCGTACGTCGTGGATAGTCACCCATTACGCACACAGCTCATTCGTGCCCGCTAGGAAACTACTGGCCCTGTTCGCACCAAGAGGGGTCAGAGGTCATGGGTGTCGCAGGAGGCCGAGGTCAAGGGCAACTGGCCAGGGAGCTCGGCGGGAAATGGGGCTCCTAATCGAGGGGCCACGAACCGCAGAGCTCAGGGAAGCTTGGCGGAGGTTGGAAGCTGCTTTTCCCTGTAGGGTGGGCACGCGGCCTAAGGCAGCCGGGACCGCCGTGGGGCCAAGTTCGGCAGGGTCCCCCGATCTGAAAACGCCTGGCTTCGGAGAACCCTCGCAAATCCCACACCCGTTGGGCTCATGCTTTGAGAGTTCGGCTCTGGAAGCCGCGAGGCCGAGCCAGGCAGGACCCAGCCCTGGAGGGGCAGACCGAACGGCCTGGTGATCAGGCAGGGATCTCGAGCCAGCATGCCGGGAGCCCCTTTCGCGGGCCCGCGGCAGAAGAGGGGGCGGCAGGGATGAGCGACTCGTATCCTCTGCGCACAGCGCTCACCGCTTCGCTGTAGCCGGGCCCTGGCCCGGTCTGTTGAAGCCGCGCTTCCCCGGTCGCGGTGCAGCCGGTCCCCACCTGCTGGCTGCAAGGGTCAAAGCCCCCGGCCCGACTCGTAGCGGATGACGCCTGCACCGGGCTAGGAGGGCGCGCGGGCTGCTCCGAGACGCAGTGGCGGTGGTGCGGACGGAGTAGAGTTCGCGGGCTGCGGTGGGGACCGGCCCGCGGCTGACTGCGCTCAGAGCCCCAGGCTCGGCCCAAGGCGGAGCGAAAGAGAAAGTAAGACCCGGGCCCTGGCAGTCTCGCCGGGGCAGTTCGTCCCTTTGGGCCTCACGGGTGCCAGGAAGACCGTGTGCGGGAGGGTCGGAGCGAGGTCAAGTGAGGAAGGGCGGCGGGTCGCAAAGCGGCGGGTGGGACCCTGCTACCGGAGGCACCGGCACCCGGCGATCCGAGCGAATTGCTGGAGTCACAGAGGAGCGCCGGCCACCACGCGGGGCACCACTTGGGAATAAACTTCAGGACCACAGTTCCGAGCGCAGGAAAAAGTCTCCATGTTGCTTCCCCAGCGGCTGCGGCCGTCCTGCCTGCGCCAACCCTGCCTTTGCTCCCGGGGAGCCGGGTGGGCGCCGGCCCGCGCCCCCTCCTCCGCCCCCTCCCCGGCTCGGGGTCTCCCTCCTCTGAGCCCGGCTGGCGGACGCCAAAGGCGGTGCTCTAGCGCCCACTATTTCAAAAGCCCGGAATATGATTTGACCAGGACTGAGAGCCACTCGGAGAGAGAGAGGGAGAGAGCGAGCGAGAGGAAAAGTTACTCTCCCCTTTCGTCAACTTTTCGCTAACTTTCGCTTTTCTCTCCCCTCCACCCCCGGCCCTCCCCCTCCGCCCCCCTCCCCGGCCCCCACCGCGCGCCTCGGGTTCCCGGGCCCGAGCGCCTGACACTGTGGGGGGGAGGGGGTTCGGCGGGGAGGGGGCCGGCGCCTTCGGGGAGCGCGCGGCCCGGGCGCCCCGAGCCTTCGCGCCGAGCCCGGACGCCCCGGAGCACGGGAGGCGGAGCAGCCCCCGGGCCGCGCGGTCGACCGGGGGCCGGAGCCGCAGGCGCGCCGACCGCGCCCCGACGCGCACCCCTGGCCCGGGTACCCCGGTCCCGCGGCCCGGGCCCGGCGACGCGGCGCGGTCGAGCGCGGGAGACTTACTTTTGGCTAGCTTCCTCGCCCTCGCCTTGGATCGCATGGTGTCGGCTCGCGGAATCTCTCTCCTCCTCCTTGAGCCCAGAAGCAGCTACACACTATCTTCATCTCCCTAGCATTGTCAGTTTGGACACCTTCGCACATGCGCACAGAGCACTCAATCTGACACCCCTCGCCGGGGCCAAAAAAACTTTGCAATGTGTTCATCATCCTCTTCGTCGCGCCGCCGCCGCCGCCGCCTCGGCGCGGGATTGGGGGGCTCTCCGATGCCTTCTCGGTCTTCACCTCACTTCTCTCTCTCTCCCCCTCCCCCCCCCTTTCAGTACAGCTCGGAACTGGCCCTTTAAGAAAACATTCCGTGCTCGTCGCTCCTGCCCGGGGCCCGCACCCTGGACACTTTAAAAGGACCCAGGTAGCCCTGGAGGCGAGGTGACTGTCCCCCCGCCCTGCCCCGCACAGCGCTGCAGCTCCTGCCCCAAGCCGGGCCGAGAAGGAGACTGGCCGCTGCGGTTTTCTGCGCGACTTCCTCGGATTTCCCCACAAACGCGCTGATAGTTCGGACGCGGGTTCGGGCTGGGTTTGCTGCGTTTTATTGCGTTTTATTACTAATTAAAAAGCTTTCGTTCGCCGTCGCCCCACTGCGCTCTCCTCCCGAACTCCCCTCGGTCCCCGCCCGCACCCTGCGCTCGCGGAGGGGGTGTCAGGACCAACGCGCCAGAACCCGGCTCCTCCGAAGCCCCCGCCGGCCGCCGCCCCCCGCGGGCCTCCCGCCCCCGCCCCTCCCCCTCACCCCCACCCCGTGGCTGCAGCTTCGGGCTCCGCGGCTCAAAAACAAACAGCCGAGGCGCCGCCAGCTCCGCGCTCTGCCACCGCCGGGGACGCCGAGCGGCGCTGGACCCGTCGGTCCTCGTTCGGGCGCGGCGGCTGAGGGCAACGCGCCCCGCGTCGGGGGGCGGCCGCGCCAAAGCCAGGCGTCTTGTCCCTGGCGTCCCGGGGCGTCCCGCACCTCTGCGCCTCCGGGGTGGGCCCGTGCGCTGCGCTCCGGTCTCCGCGCCCCCAGGTGAGTACCGAGTGCGGAAGCGCCAGAGCTAGGCCACTTTCGGGAGCCGGGGTCCTTTGCCGACACTTCCCTCCGGCTTCTCCCGGCCCAGGTACGTCTTGGGCTGGAGAACCGAGGCACAGGTGGAGGAGTGCGGGCTGGAAAAGATCTGGCGCTTCTGTTCCTGCAGACTTCAGGCTCGGAGTTCAGGCCGGCGAGGGGCCTGGCAGGGCAAGAGCAGGGTGGCCCCAACTAAGAGGCCTAATGGGGTGAGTGTGAATTCCTCCTGAGAGTACAGCTACAATTTGAGTTTGAATTGGAAACAAACGGAGGCGCTGCTGGGGCTGGGTCACTGCCCTGGGCGCCCTTCCCGAATACCAAGGTCCCTCCAGGCAACAAGATTTAGATCTGTCACGGTGTCACCTGAGCCTTAGAAGGGGTAGGCGCCATTTGGGTCTTTCTGCCTCCCAGGTGGGACTTCTCGCCATCCTCACCCCCTCTTTGTTGTGCAGTAAAAACAGCCTTCGAGTACTGAAATCTGCACGCCGAACCCCGTTAAAACTGCAGTCCCCAGAGAGTACTTCCTATAGACCTCCTCACCCAACGGAGAGTTGCTGCTGGGCCCAAACTACCCAGGGAAAAGCTCCAGAGCGGGCTGCAGCAGTGTGCCGAGCCTCCCGACTACCAGAGGTGTCACTTCCCTGCCGAGATTCAAATGTCTGTCTCGGAGGAGCCCACAGCTCTGGGTTCCTAGCCCTGCACCCAGCTGGCTGCACAGATGGAGGCCCTGTTGTGGAAGGACCTCACTCTTCTCCCTTTCTCAGTCTCTCTACCTGGGCTTAGTCACAGATCCACTCCTGCGCTAGGCTCTGGAGGTCGTGGTGAGGAGCTTCCATGGCAGGCTAAGGCAGTGCGGCAGCTCTGGTGCGTCTTGGAGGGCCCCGCATCTGCTCACCCTCACGGGGCGGTGTGACAGAAGGAGCCCAAGTGGCCTCTAGCCTGTGAGCTTAACCTGACTGGCGGTGCACAGCAGAGAGGGCTCAAGGCCACCCCAGGTATCCCTTGTTCACCTGTAACCTCAAAGGCGATCTGGAGAACCCGTGGAAAGATACAAAGACGCTACTTGAAGAGCTCTCTGCAGCAGAGGGCCCTGCAACGCCACTACCCTAGCCCAGCCCTGGCTTCTTTTTCTCTAATCTTAGAGGCTGCCAGAGCTACTACCCTCACCTACCCCCAGGCAGAAAGGCCAGATCTCTTCTAGGGTGTTCTAGAGTTTGCTGGAGCCTTCCTTCTGGTCCCTCTCTCTGCTCAGGAGGACACAGAATTCTGATCAGTTTGTACCAGATCTGCTGACCCTTGCCAGTGGAGGTGTGAGCAAGGGGCAGTAGCAGCCTATTGACCACCTTGCTCTGAGCTGGGGGATGGCCTGCCCGAGGAGGAAGTCTGGGAACCAAGACTGACTCCCTCCTGACCAAGGAAAACCCCAGGTCCTGCAATTACTCTTCAGTACCTCCAGGTCTTGAAAAGCCAGTGGCCCTGGCCAGGCCCTGCCCCCGCGTGGCCACACTTAAAAGCTGAGAGGTCAGACATGGAGGAATTTCTCAGCGAGAGTGGAAAAGCAAGGGAAATCAGACACAGGTCCCCTTGGAGGTGGTTCTGTACCTCCGTACCACTAAGAAAATTTTTAGCAGGAACGCCCCCCCCCCGACACTGAGAGAAACAAGCATGGGCAAGGAGGGGGCCTGTGGGGGAGATGATTATTACTAAATGTTTTCAGAATCACTGAGTCAAGCTCCGGGGAATTTGGAGACCATGGACTCTGTGGTGAGAGGTGCTGCCCACTTCGCTCTCAGTGTGTGTGGTTGACCAAATGCTCCCTGTGCTGGACAAATGCTAACAGTGCCAAGTTCAGGGGCCAACTTCATTGCTGGTGGGGGAGGGGTGTGCTAGAGAAAAGACTCCCACCAATTTCTGTGAAGAACCGGAGCCGATTATCCATCCCAGGGGACTGAAGAAGGATCAGAAGAGGGTCCTCAGTCACTTAGAGAACTCTGAGTCCCTAAGTTCATACCTACTGCCATATCTACAAAGCCCCTTGGCTTAGCTATATCCTGTCCCAGGCCTCCTAGAGGAAGCCAGCCTCTGGAGAGGTACTGGGGTCAGAAGTGCATCTTTACCCCTCTTAGACCACCCCCGGGGGAGGGCAGAGATTCACTGCAGCCCTTTGTGCAGCCTTGCCAGTTGTGCCTACCACCACAGGTTCCTGTGTCACCCGCCCTCTCTTCTATGCTCCCCGGAACTCTTCCACGCTCCAGACACTCTGCCTCCACGTGTAGTCCCAGTCCCGTTGTGGTGCCTGTCCCGTAGCAAAGAAAATAAAAGCACCTCTCCTTACTGTTGCCACATGTGCTTGGGGGGGGGGAGAGCTGGAGGTCCCCTGGAGGGATCTCAATACCACCACCAGTCCTCACCCCTAACTAGCACACTGGCCACAAACCAGGGTAGAGGAGGGTCTCTTCACCATGGAGGTGTTTCATGTTTCCATGTCTTTGTTGGAGGTGGTGGTTGGTTACCAATGCATAGATCGAAAAACAGAGCAGAGACTGTGCAGGGGGGTTGGGGGGTGGGGAGGAATAAAGTCACCTTCCTGCTTGAGGCAAGAAGGAGCCTGCCTGTCTGCAGATTGGTTCTGACTGGTGTTTGGGATGGGTGTGAGATACCTAAGGAACTGTCCCCACCCAGGCCTCTGAAGTGGTCCCAAATGAGTGACTCCCAGCACAGCGCTCTACCCTGGAGCCCTTTCCAGATCCCCCCCCCCTTTACCCATGTGTCCTCCTAGCTCCACAGAACCTCAATGTGGTCTGGATGACCTTGAGAACATGAGGACAGTGGTCAGAACGTCTGCCCAAGGGGTTTTCTCTATGAAAATTTGGGACCTCCAGGGCCAATACCAATTCCTAGGTTCCAAACTGGGTCTCTGGTCCGTGTGGGATGCTCTCAACCAAGACTTCCCAGGGGTATAACCTTGTAGCCTGTGTTGAACAAACCCCAGATGCTCAGAAAGGACTTCTTTGGATCACAGGGTGACTTTTGTCACTTCTTCATTGGCAATGTCCCGGAGGCCTTCGCAAGCATCCTTGCAAGGGTGCTGCAGCTGCCTGGAGACTCTTGCAGAATTTCTCTGTCTGACCTTGCTTCCTGAGTCCCTGCTGGGGTGATGTATAGGAGACAATTTGCCACTTGCCTGCATACTTGGCAGTGCCGATGGCGGTGAGGACATGGTAGGGGGGTTGTTTTGTTTTGCTGTAAAGCACTGAGAGATGGGACTGAGTTCCCTTGTTTTCTTCGTTTGAGTCCAGGAGGGAGTTAGCTTTTATATCTTTCGAAAATGCTCTCCAGAAGGCGATGGAAGCCCCCAAGGACTCCTTCTGCCTGGAGAGCACCACGTGCAGGATCAAATGCGGAGAAGCCCCGGGCTTTTACAACTGTGTTGGGGCTGTGGCCACCGGGAGCAATAAACGGAATCGGTTTCTCATGCTTTCCCTCTCGATCCGCAAACCTTCGAAAATCCACCAACGAATCTGGATCTATGGTTTGCGCTGCTTGTGTCCTTGAGGCGTGCGCTTTTCCCCAACTTCGCAGCAGTGCAGCTAGTAGGTCCCTTCCTTCCGCCCATGCTCACTAGCAGCAACTTCGTTACAGGTAACGCCCAGGAGCCCAGGAATGAGCTGAGCCCCTCGCGCTTGAGCGGCACCCGCGTGGCTTCCAAGCGCCGCCACACTAGGATGCTCCCGCTTCTAGCGAGCGCTAGCAGAGAGAGCCGGGACAGCAACGAAAACAAACTGTAAGGCTCTCCAGCCTGGCGGCCGAGGCTCTGGAGCTGCCGCGGAGTAGCAGCCTGCCTTCCCTGCCCGGGCGACGTCCAGAGCTAGGTAGAGCAAAACAACGAAGGCTATGCAACTCATCTTGAATCCGAAACTACATTTCGTTTTGCAAAGTCACCTACTACTTACTGACTCAATGGCAGATGGGCCCGTAGAGCTGACACTCGGTTTGGAAACCAAATTTTGTGTTTGAACTTGTATGGCGGCTGCACCCCGCAGCTGCAACTGTTGGGTGGGAGCCGCGAGGTATTTCTTCTCCTCCGGTTAGGTTACCCTTCTGTGACTTGGGACCACGTCTCTTCATAGTTCTTGTGTGATTGGCAGGCAAGAATGGTTAGTTGTGGGCCAGGCTGAAGACTAGAGGAGGCACAGTGCAGCCTGCCCTCCTGAGCCACAGTTTTAGGCCAACAGAAGTAGTGCTCTCTATCGAGAGGAATTTTCTCTTAAGACTCTGGGGCTATCTGCGCTTCTCTGTGCACTCTCGGCTTCCTCCTTTCTTTTTGGCGGAGGAGTTGAGAGTGTCTCCTCTTGGCCCAGGAAAAGGTTTGTTCTTCTCTTGTCCTCATCGGGGATGATAGAGTTACCAGAAAAATTAACAAGGCCTCTCCATCCAGGACTCGGAAATCCTAAAGAGGGTGAATAGGATTGTGGGGGCAACAGCCGATAGATGCTCTCGCTCGGAGCCCTCCCCACAAACACACAAGCACATCACCAACTCCCATTGGCTGCTTTGGCCTGGCTTGTGTGGTGGGTACTGGAGAGGGACCCAGCCCAGACTTCAACTACTACAGAACTTCTCCCTCAGTGGGGGGAGGTGGGAGTCCTGGCCAGCAAGGGAAAAGAGCTCCCTAAGTGATACAACTTCTCATCTTTCCTTCCATCCTCAAGACCTCTGGTCCAGACACCGAGAGCAGGAGGGAAGGGGACTTCGATGGCCAGGGAGATTCCCAAACCGACTCTGCCTCCTCCCTCCTCCAGCGGCTTTCTACTAAAGCAATAACAGCAGAACAGTGGCTGTGGAGACGTGTTTTGTGAGCCGGCAAGAAAAGGGCAGAGACCAGTATGGCCTGAGGCTGGGGGAAAAAATTACCAGTTCTGCCAGAGTCACTACAGGTGATGGACTCAGTGGCCCATGTCCTCCAGGGACAAGGTGCCTGCTCTCCACCTGTGCCCCAAGTGGAAAAGCCCAGAAGGACCGAGGCAGCAGTGAATCTTACTGACTTCACCCGCCTTCGTGACCTTGCCTCTCTGGCATCCTGCCTTCATCCCTCCTGACTGTTGGATCCCAGTTTGTTGCGTGGTAGTGAGGTTCTTTAAGAAAGAAACAAGACACCCCTGCATTAGGCACAGTCCAAAGCCCTCCGTGCTACCTCAGTGAGGAGTAACTGTGTGTGGAAGCCTAGGGACCTGGGTGAGAATGACTGGGTTTCATCTTGAGCATCCCCGCACACACGGGAGAAGTGACTTCCATAACTGTAACAGATATACATCGGGTATCCGCAGGAGAGATGCTGTCTACTGAGGAAGGGTGGGTTGGGTCCTGCCCTCTAAGCCAGCATAAAGCCATTTTCATTTAAAGCAGCTTGGCTACTTCCAAGAGACCCCAGGGATCAGGCTTTGTGGACAGGTGAGAGCCGGGAGGGCCATGCACCTGCATCTTCAGAGATTCTGACCACTCCTACCTTTTGTATGTAATTCTGCCCTAATTGCAGGTGATCTCAGAGGACTAAAGTATAAAGACTGTGGGACCAGTGGGGTGGGCGATTCTGTCTATACAGCTATGGGGACGTTTCTGGTGGTGCAGCTGCTTTGGGAGTCACTCTTACTCTAAGAAACAAACCCTCACCTGTGCTCTCTTGGCTTCCCCAAGTTAGACTGCAGTGGGATTCAGGGTCAGTTTGGAGTCCTATAAGGAGGAAGCACAGGTTTATGTCTCCACAGGAAAAGCGTCCCTTTAACACCCCCAAGCCTATCTTGCATCCCTGCCCTCATCTGGCAGAGCTGTGAGGATGAGAGCGAGAATACAGCTGTTGTCCTGGGTCGGGGTGGGGGTGGCAGAGGAAGCTGTGGCCCAGTCAGATCACAGGTCTTTGGGACCCTCCATCAGCTCCTCCACTCTCCAGAGCTCCTGTTCCCTGGCAACACGGGGTATGTGGGTGGGAACACCCCCTAGCAGTAGCCTTCCAGGGAGGGCTGCACTTCCCAGGAACTCCTTCAGTTCCCAGAGGAGGACAGCAGAGGTAAGAGCTCTTTCCCCTCCTGCTACTTTTTCAATTCCTCTTACAGAACCTAGGGTTTGTCCTCAGAGCTTCTGAGAGCTGAAGCCCTGGAAAGCATCTGCCCCTTGCCTGGACAAAGAGAGGGCATTGGAAGCCATGTGCAAGGACTCACGGTCCATTGGGGGGCGGGCAGTTGATCACTCAGTGTGGACTTCTCAGGGGTTTCACAGGTCCCCTCCCCAACCCCCCACAGCTCCAGGCTGGCCTGGAACAGGGCAAACTCAGCCAGCTGGGCTCTGTGCTTCCTGAATCCAGAACTCCAATAGGCAATCAGGAGCCCCCCTTCTCTACACCCCATCTGAGGGCTGGGGTGTGGCTGTCTGGGTCAAGGGGAGGCCTCATTTCTGAGCCAATAGCTTTTGGGGGGCTCACCATAGGACTAACACACTGAGGTCATGTCCTGACACACCAGCATATTCTGTATTTGAGCTTCTAGTAAGGCATGTTTAATTATCAAATGTATCACTAGGGGAACAAAACCAGTGTCCATTAAGTGTTCACAAAGCCTGGGCCACATGGGACACATGGTTCTAGTGAGCATGAGTAAGCCAGTTTTCACATTAGAGGAATAACAGTTCTTGTAGCAATGCGGCACTTTTAAAAGAGGTTAATTAATAAACAGCAGGTAATTGTTCATGGCACGATGTGGCAGAGGGTAATTTTCATTTTTGAGGATGGAAGGGCCAGATGCCCCTCCCCACTCAGCATTTCTCTGTAATAATCACCTTGGCTTCCTTCCGCCTTTAATTTTTGCAGCTGGAGCTGTTTATCACTGCTCCAACTTTCACTGAAAAGGCAAAACTATCACTTAAACAAAGCTATTGAAAACTCAGCCTCATATGTGGCTTTCTTAACATAAATAAATCATACAAACCAAGATTTATGTTCAAGGAATGATGTCATTCACTGAAGGCTGCCTTCCCAATCAGATCAGGATTTCTGTGTGTGTGTCTCTGTCTGTGTCTCTGTGATTCTGTCTGTCCGCACACTCGCTTTTTGCAAGAAATTACAACCACAACCTATCTCTAGCATCCTGGATGCTCGTCTGTTTGTCTCGGGTCATCAAAATGGTCTTGCCTGTGTGAGCCCAGCAGAACCAGGTCTGAGTGACAAGAACATTTCACCCTGTAGTTGAGGACAAGAAAGCGGGGCTTCTCTTAAGAGCTCGGTCAGCTGTCGGTTATTGTCCAGGGTCCCGCGCGTCTTTTGACTTTGGAATGAGTACAGTTAGGGAAAACACCTCTACAGAAGCTTAGCCATGCTGAAATGACTGAGGAACTTGAAAGCCATGAAGAGGTAGACAAAAGACTGGACATCCATACAATAGAGTATTGTGTGACCTCCAAAGAGAATGAGACACTGACCCGTGCTACGAAAGGATGAACCTCAGAAACACAGTGAATGAATGACACCAGTCATTCAAGGCCACCCATCATGTGACTCACATTACAAAATGTCCAGAATCGAGACAGACTGGGGGTTGGGAGATGAAGGGAATCTCTGCTCTGTGGAGTGCCCTGTGATGAAAATGTTCTGTGATGAGCCATGGTTCTGGGTACATGTCCTGAGGTTTAAATGTCACCTTCCACCTTACCAGAAGATGAATGTTACAATGTGTGACAAACTCCAATAAAGTTGTTACTTACAAACCCCTACTCAGCATTTGAATTTTTAATTAAAATACAGTCACCACAGATATCAGCATTCAAATTCAAGGAAGTGTGCTAACATTTCCTGGCAGACATGAGTAAATACTGTTCACCCCAGTATGGCTCTAAGGACAGACCAAAGAAAGGATTCCACCAGAGTCAAGATTGGTGACATTTACAGGACCAGGAGCAAGTAAAACTTCCCCCTCCCGGCACTGTTACCTCCCGGCACTGTTAACTGCACATGTATCCCCGGGGATGGGAGTAATGGTGCCCTTATTACACTGCCCCTGAGTTCTCTCTCCCACCTCAAGGGAGCATGGGTCCTAACAGTAACAACTACCCCAGATTAGAGAGAGCAGTGGTCAAATAAAAGGTTTGAGATGTTGTGCCCAGAGAAGAGTTTCACATCTCCAAGCTCTTCTTTAAAGCTTTAACTGTCAAAGTGACCACACTAGTAAGGAATGATCCCAGCGTCCTCACACAGTGCAGAGAGCAGTATACGGGACGACACTCAGGGAAAGGGTGAGCGTACCTGCCTATACCTCACAGCTTTCCCTGCAGCCAGCCGGAGGTTTGAGGTTAACCTTTCCCTTCCTTTGATGTGCGCTCTTACTCACCCAAAATCAAAGCAAAAGAGGACAGACATCTCCACTGTTTCCAAAGGATGAGTAAAATGTGCTCCATCCACTTACTGGGGTGCCAGTCCGCCATGAACAGGAGGGTACTCTTGTACCCGAATGAGCATGAACCCTGGCACTTGCATGGAGTTGAGGAAAGCCATTCACCGAAAGTCATGTGTGTGATTCCAGAAATGTCCAGAAGAGGCAAAGCCACCAAAACAGAATGTAGATTGGGGCTGTCTGAAACAGCTGGGAAAGCAATGATATCTCATCCAGGGCGGTGTGAGAGTAGGTGAACCACCCACTGTCCGCCCCCAGATGATGGCAAGAGGTTCACTGGGAAGCCACAGGAGGGTAACACTGGCCCAGAGCAGGCTGCACCATGAACCTTGGGTTCTTCAGGAGTCATTGCAGCAGCTAGAGAGATGATGTTGCTGTTAAGAGACTTGTGCACCCACACAGTGGCTCACAACCTTCTGTAGTACCAGTTCTAGGACATTCAATGCCCTCCTCTGGCTTCCACGGCTTACATACACATAGGCAAAATACTCACACACATGTTCTACAAAAGTATCATTTCATACCTGCTTTGTGCTAGGCATAGTCACAGGCCCTAAGAACACAGCAGTGACCCAATCAGGCTTCCGATTTCCCTTGAGGTCACATCCTTGAGGGAAGGCAGCAGTAACAAGCTACATGCATCACATGCCTAGAAAGTTTAAGTGCTAGGGACACAATGGTGGGGTAAGGACTTGGCATAAATAAAAGGTTTGAGATGTAATTCTTTTAGGACTTTACATGTCTAAAAATGTCTTTTCCCAGCATAGCAGGGAGGGGATAGTTGGGCTAGGTATAGAATTCTAGCATGCTGATGGATTTTTCATTCAGAATTAGAGAGTGATGGCCACAATCATTTCTTCCAGGAGAGCTGAGTAGTCCATGGGGGGGGGGGGCAGGACTCTACTGCCTCAGTGATGTGGGATGTCCTTTTGTATATGTGTTGCTCTTATTGGTTGATGAATAAAGCTGCTTTGGCCTATGGCAGGGCAGAATACAGTCAGGTTGGAAGAGATATAGAGAGAGAGTAGGTGGAGTCAGGGAGATGCCCTGTAGCTGCCTAAGAAGCAAGAGGTAACAGACCACAAGCCTCATGGTAAAATATAAAATAATGGAAAAGGGTTAATCTAAGATGTAAGGGCTAGCTAGAAATACACCCAAGAAATTGGTCAAACAGTGTTATAATTAATACAGTTTCTGTGTAATTATTTGGGTCTGGGCAGCTGGGAATGAAAGAGCAATCTCTATTCATACCTCGGGTTTTGTGTGCCTGGCTTCTATGCCTGAAAACTCAAAAGAATCTTCTCTGTCTTGGTGTTCAGTGTTTCCTGAGCACATGTCCTGGAGTGGGTGTCTCTTTTTCATCCACACTGGAGTTTTTGACCTTCGGTGATTTTCTTGAAGCATGTTATTGGTGATTTTCTGCGTTATTTTCTCACATATTTGGGTTATATTTGGGTTTGGGGACTTTAAGGTAGTGCTTTCCTCTCCTCACATAGGACGTGCATACTCCAAATGTCTGTCTCTCCTTGGCTGGTGTCCAAGGCTGGGAGCTGACTGACAGAGGACTCAGGGCTGGTTGTCTCTGGCCTCCGTGTCTGGGTGCTGCTCAGAATCCTGGATGGTGCTATCTTGAGGAACTCATCTGGTCTCCAAGGGCTTTTCCAGGAAGTCACTGGAGGGGTCTGGCTAACTGGAGAGGTGGGGGTCTATGGTTGTTTGAATGTATTTGGACCCCATAAGCTCATAGGGAATGACACTATTAGGAGGCGTGGCTTAGAGAGGAAGTGTGTCACTGTGGGGGTGGGCTTTGAGGTCTCCTTTTCTCAAGCTCAGTGTGACACTCCGTTCACTTCCTGTTGCCTGCTGATCAAGACCTAGGACTCTCAGCTCCAGCACCATGTCTGCCTGCATGCCACCGTGCCCCACAAGATGATAATGGACTAAATCTCTGACATGGTAAGCCACCCCATTTAATGTCTTAGAAAGAGTTTTAAAAGAGTTGTCATGGAGCCGGGCAATGGTGGCGCACACCTTTAATCCCAGCACTCGGGAGGCAGAGGCAGGCGGATCTCTGTGAGTTCGAGGCTAGCCTGGTCTACAAGAGCTAGTTCCAGGACAGGAACCAAAAGCTACGGAGAAACCCTGTCTCGAAAAATCCAAAAAAAAAAAAAAAAAAGCGTTGTCATGGTCGCAGTGTCTCGGCATAGCAATAGAAACCCTAAGATAAGGTCTCTGCAGCTTCAGGAGAATAAATCTTGAGATGCTCACTAGCAGGAGGAAAGGACAGTTGCCCTGCAGGGAGGTGAAGGGGAGCCAGGAATTTAATTTGATTGTCACATGCTGTCATTCTAAGTTCCTGATTGTAGACACCCCCACACCCCATCTCCCAAGAGCATTCTTATTAATCCTGAGTTTAGGTGCTGTACCCCCTCCCCACCTCAGTCCAGGGGAATTTTCCTCTTGCTCTCTGTGTTCTCTGGGACTTATGTAGACTTATGACGCCAGACCCAATCAGATCCTGTAGGGGGATAATCACAGTCCTGATACTCCACCCCCAACCCAAGGAAGTGAGAGGACCAGCTTGACGTCACCCAATTGCATAAAGGGAAGGTAACTTCTTTGCCCTGTACCCCAACTCTGCTCTCAGCCTCATTCTGGTAAAAACAGCTCTCAGGGTCCCCGAAGGCATCTAACTGACCCTCCCCACATCTACAGCCCCTGCGTATTTTTTTTTCCCGAGACAGGGTTTCTCTGTGGCTTTGGAGCCTGTCCTGGCACTAGCTCTGTAGACCAGGCTGGTCTCGAACTCACAGAGATCCGCCTGCCTCTGCCTCCCGAGTGCTGGGATTAAAGGCATGCGCCACCATCGCCCGGCATCCCTGTGTATTTTTGCAGCTAGTTCTAAAGGATAGCGTCCCTCCAGGGTCTTGCATTGACTGTCTTACTTAGGACTTCTAGCTCTGCTCTTAGTCCAGGGCATTTCTAGGAGGGTAGGAGACCCCAAGGGAGGAGCTTGGGACACGGGAGTCTGCCACTCCATTCTCCTTTCATAGTATCCTTGACTATGTGTGTTTTCATGTAATCCAGGAGCAGAGTCTCCCAGCAGGCTTCTGGCACTTTCTTTCCTATATGGGACCTTGAGGTGGACCCGGCAGACCTGGCTGAGCCACCAGCCTCATCCTGCAGAGGAAGAGATGATGAAGTCAAAACCAGCCCCTCCTGAGACCCTGCTGGGTAAAGTCTGGGCCACTCTGAGGCTCGCGATGATTCCAGCCAGGTGTGGTATGGACACTGTGGTTTGGGCTAGGGACTAGCCTCACTGTAGCCTCTGTCCAAATAACTCTGAGATCCCACACGGTCACCTGTGGGGTAACTCTGGACTCCCTGCAAATGAGCCATGGCAGAAACAGCTGCCCTAGGCTCCTAGGCTTTTATAGGTTTGCCTTAAAGATTTTATTCCAGAAAAAAACCCAAAGCAATTAATTCAAATTACAGAGTAGTCATTTGCGATAATATTTGCTTTAAATACATGTTTTTTTTAAAAAAAAAAAAACCCTCAGCTGTGGGCCTTGAGTGAGTTCGAGGTGAAGGACACCTTGAAATAATTACATTTTTGCTCATTTTATGTTGTGAAAATGGCTTAGTCAATTTGGGGAAGAACGCAAAGTGTTCAGCTGAGCCCCTATAAAGGCCGTGCTATTTCTCTTCCCGTTTCTGCCAGCATGGCCACACTGGGATCGTTTGTCCTTTCGCCTTGAAGGTGGATTTCTTCCAAAAGGCGTCCAGGCGCTGGCCCAGCTGCCTCTCAATCTGCGTCTTGGCAGCAGTGAGGGAGCAAGGCCTCTTCTGGAGGGACACCTGATTGGTGGAGTCCAGAAACCTGAGGACAGGACCTGTATGTGGAAGCCCTTGTCCTGGCCCACAGCTGCTGTCTCTTCGGGTGGAGGGTGTGAGGGAACTGGGGCTCACCTGTCCAGCATGTCCTGGGATGATAACGGGGTTTTCCTGAAGGTGAGCGCACCCAGATCAGGCACAGCTAGGACTGTAGCCAGTGTGGAAAGAGGCTCTGAGCCCGGAAAATGGGAATTCATTACAATGACATCGTGCTTCTCCTGGCGTCAGAATGTGGGCCTGTTTGGAGCCCAACTAAGGCTCCCACTGCCACAGATCATCAAGGACCCAAGGCAGGACTCTCCTGCCCTCCCTGCCACGCCAGGCGCGTGGTGTGGATACCTCTCTTAGTGTTCTGCTTGCCTTTTCTCTCAGTCACTTTTCTTCTTGGTGTGTTACAGAATTTAGATTGCTCATTATGTTTATTTACTT